CTCTTCGTTTCTGTTTGCTATGGCTCATTTCGCTCTATTCCTGTTTATAAGGTATACTCCCATAGTAAGGCTAAGCGCCAATACAAAAGTAGCGCCTAGAGACATCATATCCATTATTCCAACCTAGTATATAGCAAAATTCGAACGTAACAGTTGTTTTAAAATCCTCTTATGTTTTCCTGACACGCACGTTATGTATTGACCGACTAGTACAGAAAGACGCCATTTTGAAATATAGTGACATTTTTAAACAAACCGTTTTCTATCGAACGTTCTTTTTTTTTACTTTCGGCGTTTTATTTTTATTTTTTTAAATTGTATTGAGGTACAAGTTACTCATTAACAGGTTCTATGTAGATATCATCAAGTTAAATTAAAAATCACATAATTTTTGTCCTCAAATGGAAAAACGCAGCGGAAGACGTAATATTATTAATTCATCGGGGATCCTTATTAAGCTTAATTATTAGACCTACAACATAATTCAAAACACCTGCACAATCAGAACTCAAGAAAACTTTGAGTAGTTCATTTATATCAGCACTAATATGACTAAGTTTTATTACGTTCCTCAAATATGTTTTTATAATAAAAAAAGAAGAAGAGAAATAGGTTACGATTAATAGTGCAATAATATGTACCAGTTGTTATTCTTATGATGAAATTTCAATTTTCTTCTAGCATTTGCAGTACTAAACTGTGAGTCGTGGGTATTTACTCTTGCAATAATGTTCCAATACATATGTTACAGTGGCTAATAGAAACCGTACAAAACTGTTGAAACTTCTTTAATGCTACTTATGGATATGTGGCCAAATAATCCTTTTAGACAAGAAAGAGGTTTTGAAAAAGTGCAACATATGATCTGTAAGTGTCTCCCTTCTCGAACTATTACACTTTACCTGCGAACTGTGTATTTAAAGTTGCAAATAATGGATGATCTAACATAAAATGTTAGGTCTGATATGTCGAAACAAATACGATAAAAAGTACGATTTTCAAATAAAAAATTTGTAGTAGAGTTTAACTAGACTAAATACTTATAAAAGGTTAGCCCCCTCCCAGTGGCACGGCGGTATGTATGCGGACTTACAACGCAAGAATCCGGGTTTCGATACCCGTGGTGGGCAGAGCACAGATAGCTCATTGTGTAGTTTTGTGTTTAACTTCAAACAAACAAACAAATCAAAGGTTATTGTATCGAACAATAATTTCAAATATGATGTCATTCCCTTTTTAGAAAAACAATCAATTATAGGTTGAATTATTCGTAAAATATTTCTGGATAGGCAAGAATTAAATATCGACATTTCTTTAAAATACATTACGGAATTGAAAATTGTTCCAATCAACGATATCTATATTAATAAGATTGGAAGGTAGTTATTAGGAAACGATCATGATAACGTTTATTGGGGCTCTTATGTTCATTAGATATTGTTCCCTGTTAATGCGTGGGGATAAGTAGCCGATGCTTTATGAATAGGACTCTAAAGTTGACCAGGGATAAGGTGTCGTTGTCGCTAATTAGAGATTAGGTCCAATGCTCAGTGGAAGTGATAATCTAATGGTAATTAAGGGTGGGGTTTTAAAGGTCCGGTTAATATTTTGAGGGAGAGTAGACAAAATGGTGATTGAAAGTTAGAACATGATTCTGGTTCGTGTGGTTCTGAAGCCGTTCGAGAATAAGTGATTTGATACTGATTGGAAAGACAGAATTTCAATTAACTGGAAATATAATTTTGAAGCATGTTATAAACATGGGTATTAATGTTGTTATTTTCTATTTAAACGGCACCTTACGTGCACATAGGCCAAGCAGCAGGGTCATTTAATTTAGGGACTGACGCATAGCTATTCCTCATTTTAAACTGTTGACCAGGAGATTGGCAACCAGACAACAGTGCGTGCCGCCACGAGTTATGCCTTCTGGAACCGAATAACAGAACTGGTTGAAAAAGCGAAGAAAATTAAGCACCACTGCTGCTCGAATCTTGGACTAATCTCCAACCAACCACATTAATCACTAGATCACGTCTGACCCTTTAGGGATTGGAACTGATTTGTTTGAATTACTTTGATAATTAATCTCGGATCAATATAAGTGTAGTAACGTGTACAAGAAAATTGCCTTGTCTTAAGAATATTTCATGGGATCAATTTTTTTCTTACTGGAGATGAATAAGACAATTAGTATTTTTTCTTTATTACTTTTACACTGTTATTTAAATAATAAGCCAAATATCTACTCATAAAATAATAGTTAGTCTTAGTTTCCTAAGATGATATTATTTCTTTAGTTTACCTGTTATAATTTTTTATAAATTAGGCTAGTATATTAAGAAAAAAATAAGTGTTGAAGTTAATGTAACACTCATAACAATTAACTATTCAAGTGTTATTTTGATAGTTTGATTTTCATAAGAAAACGTATTAGAACATAATAATGGCTGGAGACGGCTTAAATGGGTAATGAAAAAAAAACTTTA